TGCCGCGCCTGCGGCCCGAGAGGCAATTCGAAGGCCTGGGCTGGCACGGGCGACAGGTTCCGATGATAATCATCGGCTTGGCGAGCGCAGCTCAAACAAACAAATCACAAACGAATGCCGCTTCTCGACCAACCATCTGTTCTGTTATGTCCTTCTCTCTTATGCTATAGCTGCGTGGCTGTGGAGGTTGTCTTGAGAAACCTGCGCGCGTCCTCGCGCCCTTCGAGGCGACCTCGCCGTTCCCTTGTTCTTCGCAGACGCGCGCGGGGGACCGCGCGCTCGGCGGGGGGCGCGGGGGCAGGCGATGCCACCTTGGAGGGCGATGGGGAGTTGCTTTACTCAAGTCGGAACCCTCACCGCCGACGCCGTCAGAGAGGGTAAGGTCGCGGGCCCCCTCGCCCCGCTTGTTCTGCAACTGCGCTGTTGTAACTCATGGGCTTAAGCGCGTTTCGGGCCCCCCCACCATGTCCACCGAGCTTCCGCCGCATTCCTCCGAACAGGGGCCTTTCTTTTTATACTATGACGGCTGACGCCGCACTCCGCCTTCGACGGACGCGCGCTCAGAAATATAGAAGAATCCGTTTCGGGCCCGGTAAACTTTTGTGGTCACGACGCCCGCGCGCGAGGTTATGCGCACGGGGCGGCGTAGATCCCCTGCAAGCTAGATCCCAACGTTCCCCCATGTGGGCTCGTTGTGCGCGTGCGCACAAGGTTGCGCCAATAGCTGCACTACACCTGCACGCGTGTTGCACTCGCGTGTTTGGCAAGGCGTATACACATACGTTTGCACAGATAATCGTACGGAACTGATCAGGAACCGCTGATCATGCGATGTGAAGTTCCCAAGGGACTCCAGGATTGACGTGAGAGTTCTCTGGCAGGCGGCGACCTGCCCCTGCAGTTGCCTCAAAGCCCCCTGGACTTACACCCTGCAAACGCTGTGGGTGGCGGAGACTGAGGCCTTACCAGCTTGCGTCGAGCAGTCGCGAGCGAAAAGCAGAGGCGGGGGCGGAGTCGTTGAAGTGTTGCGCGCCAGGATGAGGGGCGACGTTTTGGGCCACGGGCCATTCGAACCCCAATCATATGTACACCTTGGGAGCAGAGGAAAAGAGTATCGTTTGGGCCATGTGAAAAGAGAGGCGTCACCGCGAAAGGGGTGGCCGATGCGGCGAAGCGCCTGGAAGAATAGTTGACGCGAGCGGCGCGCAGCCGAAAGTTCCCGCGGCAGGGCTACACCAGCAGCGCACAGGGGACGGGGCACGTGATGAACGGACAGGAAATAGTATGCGCAGGCTGCTTGGGCCCCGGCTGCACGGCGTGTAGTTGGCAAAAGCGTACAAGTGTTTGGACACCTGCAAGAGGAAGCTCCCTGAATCCCAACTCGTCGTTGTATAGCATGCTTCGCTGTCCCACAATAGCGGTGCCCTGAAGGGAAAATCGTGCGCGCGAGGACCGCTTAACCGCTTGTGGCAACGCGCGAATGTTCGGGGCGCGGGGGAAGCATGAGGAGGAGCGGGATGCGTTCTCCTTCTAATGGTGAAAACTTTTGGGTACAAGCACTGTTTGAGGATTTGGGAGCCTCGATGGGGCACCTTGGAGCCACGGGTGGGATACATTCGGACCGAGGCATACGATCGAGGTGGGGCCGGGGAGGGCACCCTCGTGTTCTTCGCGCTTGCTGGATGTTTTGCTGCATCCTGGGGAGGGTACCCTTGGATATTCTGTGTATTTGGGATGACGGAGGGTCTCATGTTCTTGAGGCATGGTCTTCTGGCCTAGGTCCGACTGAATAGATTGAGCCTTGTTGGACAACCTGATGGACGGGTCCTGTTCTCGGACCAAGATTGGGATCTCGCTGGTTTCGTGTTGGTTTATTAATCGTTTCGCCCATTCCGCCGGCCCTCGAGCGCTCTACGGGGCCTCTTTGAAGCCTCTTGGGGGCCTCCTTGGGGCCTCCTAGGGGCCTCTTGGGGGCCTCTAACGGGGTCTCTTGGGGCTCCTTGGCGGCGTCTTGGGGCCCCCTTGGGCCTCTTGGGGGGCTCTTGGGGGCCTCTTGGGGCGGGGTAGTCGAGTGCACCCCCCTCGGAGGCCACAGTCCTCGTGAGGGGTGTCGAAAAAAGGCCCTCAAAACCATCTCTGAGTAGACCTTCCCGGGACCTTCCCTGGACCTTCCCGGGACCTTCCCGGGACCTTCCCGGGCTGCGGTCGGGGTATTTTTCGCCGGGGGACCCCCAGGGGCCGCCCCGCGCGCGCGAATTAGAATAATTATTCACCAGCTGCCGGAGATCTTAGCACGCCTCTGGCCCGTTGGGCCGGCGAATTTGGGGCGGCTGACTGGCCAAGCCCGCTATCTAAGCGTCTCCAACAACCAGAGAAAGACGCGAAAAATGCGAAAAGAAGAAAAGTGCGGAAAGTGCCACAAGTAGACAATGCGAAAAGTGCGAAAAGTATACAACAAAAACTAGAAAAATAGAAAAGTACGAAACGTGCGAAACGTGCGAAAGTTCGAAACGTGCGAAGCGTGCGAAAAATAGAGACGTGCAAACAGTGCGAAAAGTGCGAACAGTAGAAAAGTGCGAAGAGTGCGAAGAGTGCGAACAGTGCGAACATTAGAAAAGTGCGAAAAGTGTGAAAAGTGCGAAGAGTGCGAAGCGGACGAAGAGTAGAACATTGCGAAACACACGAGAAACGTAGAAACGTAGAAAAATGCGATGAGTTGAAAACCCGACGCGTTGCGAGAAATCAGAAATCATAACAGTGCGAAAAGCGCGAAACGTAGAGCAAGACACACGCGGGGAAGGGCGAACCTCTTAACAACGCGGAGCGCGAGAAATAGGTAAATCGCGAAACGCCCGAATGTTCGAACAGTTTCTTGAAAGAAGCCCGTGGGAGCGGCAGGAGGGGCAAGATGTTGAGGCGGCCGTTTTCCACTTTTCTGCTTTTCCCGCTTCTACTATTGTTGTTGCTTTTCGCGCTTCTCTTTCCCCCCCGCTTTTCAATGATGGTGCGTAATTGCTGTCGTCATCATCATAATCCTCACAATCACAATCATCATCAGTTTCAGCACTCATCGCGCCGTGACCAGCATCATCGCTTACCACTGTGCCAGGACCATCGCCATCATCACCCTCGTCACCATCATCGCTGTCATCGACAGCATCGGATTCAGCATTGTCGCCACCACACACCACACACACACAAACACACACAAACTCACCCACTCATTCGCTCACACATGCGCGCTCATCTTGGGGAGGTCTCGAGCGGGAGCTTCGTCTGTGATTAAATCGCGAGGACGTCTCAAGCGGGAGCTCCTCCCTATGGCGTCCCCGCCCCATGCTTTAATCAGTGCGGGTCATCCGATCCTTGTAGTTGTCGTCAATTCGGGCTCTTCGGGCCTGTATTTGGAAGAAGTCTCGAGTGGGAGCCTCGTTTTTGAGTGAATCGTGAGGGAGTCTCTGGCGGGAGGTCTCCGCCTGGTGTTGTTTTTTATCCGCGCGGGTCATCCGATCCTTGTAATTGTCGTCAATTTGGGCTCCTCGGGCCTGAGTGCGGGAGCCCCGTCTGTGAGTGTTTCGTGACGAAGTCTCTAGCGGGATCTTCTCCCTATGGGGTCCCCGCCTCATATTCTTTCCACGCGCAGGTCATCCGACCCCTGCAACCGTTGTCATTTCTGGGTTCTTCGGGCTTGAATCGGGACCCCCCCTCTCCTCTCCCCGAGCTCCGACCTCCTGTTGGTAATCTGACCAGCGGCTTGCTCTGATTTCATCGGCGCGCGGCGTCTGAACGGCTTGTTGCGCGCACAGGAAGAGACGGAAGAACAGGATGATGATGATGATGATGATGTTGATGATCATGATGATGAGGAGGAGGAGGATGATGAGGAGGAGGAGGAGAACGAGGACGAGGACGACTGTTGTTCGTTTCTGTCGTAGTGGTTTCCGCATTTTGCTTCTCACTTCGGCGAGGACAAAGGATGAGGATAGCAACGACGACGACGACGACGAGTATTCCTTGACATGGCCCAGGGGGTGTTCCGTGACATGCCCCACGAGGTATTCCGTGACTTGCCCGACGGGGTGCTCCGTGATATGCCCCCGCGGGTGTGACATTCTTGCGTGACAAGGGAGAGGTCGGAGGAGGATCACGAGGCGGAGGAGGAGGAGGAGGAAAGGAAAAGGAGAAGGAGGAGGACAAAGGACGAGGACAACGAGGACGGCGACGACGACAACGACGACGAGAGATATTCCGTGACATGCCCGAGGGGTGTTCCGTGACATGCCACGTGGTTTTGGCATGTTGTTTTTCATTCCAGGGAAAAACGATGGGGGAGGAAGGGAGAACGGAGATTCCGTGGCGTGTCTACCCTGCCTTTCTTTGTTCTTGGGTTTCGCGCAACAAGTTATTGATTCAGTTTGTTGTTGGCTTCCACCTCTTAAGTTTATAATGTGTTTACTGTTTTTCAAGCTTGCCCTGCATTTCGTTTTGCGATTCGCTCTTTTCGCGTTTTTCGTGCTTTTCGCACTTTCCGCACTTTTCTTCTTTTCGTGTTCGTTTGCACTTTTCGCTCTTTTCGCGCTTTTCTACTTTTCGCACTTTTCTCACTTTTCTAACATTTTACACTTTTCGCCCTTTTTCGCGCTTTTCGCACTTTTCGCACTTTTCGTACTTTTCGCACGTTTCTACTTTTCGTACTTTTCGCGCTTTTCGCACTTTTCGCACTTTTCTATTTTCTGAAACCTGATCTGCTCCTCTTGTGCTGTCAGGCTGGGCGCAGCACCTTTTTCTCGAAGCCGAGAAGCGCGCCAGGTGGCGCCGATCCCGGGCGCAGGCCGCCCGGCACAGCTGAAACCTGGGGTCCCAGGCTTGGGCCCACAGTGGTTGCGGGAGCACAGGAGAGGGGCAGAGGGAGAGCAGAGAGGAAAGGGATAGGCGGGTTGAGGCGAGCCTGGAAATCTTCACACGCCCTCAAAAGGAGACGCCGAAAACCGCCTGGCTCCTCAATCTGCGATGTCCCGCATCTCACTAGCTCTCACGAGTTTGTCCTTCTGCCTCTTCTCCGTCTTCCTCGAATCAATGGCGGTCTTGCGGCTAGCCCTCTGCACACTCTTCCTCATCTTGAACGCCGCCGCCGCCGGGTCCTGCACCAGGCTCCACTTGGCCTCCCGCAGTACCTTGTACAGGTAGACCTTGTCCACCCCTAACTTCGTCAGCACGTCAGCGATATTCTGAGAGCCATCGATCCACCTGAGATGGGTGTTCTCGCAGCGCAACCCTTCTCTGAGCAAGGCACCCTCGATCGCCATCCTCTTGTCCTTGCTCTTCGTCGAGCCCTCCTTCGTGAGGTGATCGTAGACGGACTTCGCATCCGTCGCCCAAAAGCGGGGAAGCCGCAGCACCTCCCCCTGCCAATTGAGCAAGTTCACCGAGACGTTCATCGCCTCCCTGAAAAGCACCGCCGCCCAGTCGACGGCCTCCACTGCGTCTGCCAGGTGACTGGCCTCTGCCGCCAAGGTCGAGCGGCACACTCGCTGCGTCATGCCACTCTTCCAGTCCAGCACCGCCACTGGTGCTTGATGTCCGGCCAAGATGCTGCCGGTCGTGAGGAGCACCACGTGGCCGCCACAGCTCTTGTAGCGCTCGATGTCGTCGTGCTCCGGGCCGTTCGCGTGGCCCGCGTCCACAGCCGCGCCGACCACCGCGTCGGACAGCCTCAGGTTGGCTGGGTAGACCAACGCGACCTCGGCGCCCTTCTTGGCCTCGGACACCGCCAGGTTCGCCTTCACCAGGTCCGCTCACACGGGGCCCCTCGGGCCCTCTGCAGCTCGCCCGAGAGGAAGGCCAGGTCGAGCCGACACTGTCGACCTAGCCAGCCGATCTCGCCGGAGACCCGCAGCAACTCCTTCGCCTCGTCCTCGCTCAGGTCCTCTTGCAACTGCTTCCTCCGGGCTGCTGGGATCTTGATCGGCTTGAGGGAAGTCGCGTAGTTCACCATCTTAACCACAAAACCTCTCGGATCACTCGAGAGCTCCCGGCCGCGGAAGGTGAAGGGCAGCTCGCTCCACTTCCACTGAAACGTGCCAAGGACCTTCGGCAGGAGGTCCGACAGCTGCATGTCCTTCATCCTCGCCACCAGCACGTCATCAACGTGCGAGACTGCGATGCCCTTAAGCTCCCCGTCCACGCGCTTGTAGAAGAGAGCCGGCTCCAGGCGTGACTGAAGCCAACCGTCGACCAGCAAGGCATCACGCAGCGCTAGCCAGAAGAGCCTCGCTGCATCCGCGAAGCCATAGATGGCCTTGCGGGCCCTCAACAGCTGGCCCGGGGCAAGGCCCGGTAGGCCTCCTCGGGGCTGCTCCAGGTAGACTTCGCGCTGCAAGTCCTGCCCGTTGAAGTAGGCGTTCTTGACGTCGCCCAGGGAGAGGATCATGCCCATGGCCGCCGCCAGCGTCAGGAGCAGCGCCTCCGCCAGCCGCGAGGCAGTGGGAGCGTCCCGCCTGAACATGCCCAGCAAGTGGTCGCGAAAGCCCACCACGACCAGGCGGCTCTTCGCGAGCAACGGCAGAGGGGCTCCGGCCTCATCGTACTTCCCGTCGTTCTTGTCCGTGTCCACCCAGCGCATCAAGATGATGATGTTGGCCTTGTTCGAGCGAAGCGCCTCGCTCTCGTCTGGCGGGACCGGCTCGGCTGCGTCGAAGTCCTGCCAGGAGCGCTCCTCGATCCAGGAACATCCGGCGCTGCTCCTCCGGCAGGCTGCTGAGCTTGATCTCCTTCCTCCCCGGCTTCTTCGTCAGGAAAGCGTGCTCGAAATCGTGCCGCATCAGCCCGAAAATGAACTCCTCCCTGCCGATGCCCTCCTGGATGAAGAAGGCCTCGTCCTGCTGATACGTCTCCAAACCTGCCTCCGAAAACTCATCCAGGTCATTGTCCAGCACGAACGCCGCCGAGTCCATGGGCGCCTGGAGGCTGGATCCTGCAGTCCCCTGTCGGATTGAGACAGGGACCTCATCCAGCAGGCGCCGACGCTTAGCCTCTCGCTCCCGGCGCTCCTCCGCCTCCTCTTCCTCCAGAAGGCTCCCTGGGCGCCGGTGCCGAGAGGCTCTCGGCTCGGGCTCCGAGTGCACCCCGTGGGTGTCTGGGTGCCAGCCCTCGTCATGGTCCCTCATGATCTCCTGAATCGCTGCATCGAACTCCGCCGCGTCGAAGTCCAGGTCGGGCGGCACTGGCACGTCCTCAGCCCCCACTGCTGGGGCTGGCGCCGCAGGCGGCTCAGGCGCGGCTGGCGCCGCGCGGGGAGCCTCCGGCTCGGGCGGAGCCGGGGCGGGCTGCTGCTCCTCCGGCACCTCCGCCTGTGGCCCGACGTCCATGCCACTCTCGTCGCCCTGCTCGGCGGGCTCCTGCCCCGCCGCTGCGGGGGGCTTGGGCCGACCTCGCAGGTCCACGAAGCCGCTGCCACCGCTGACGGGCGTGTCGTGCACCAGCTCCTGCTCCTGCGCAATCGATCTCCAGGCGTGGATCTCGTGGCCCGTCGCGGCGGCCAGGTGCTCCGGGCTCGCGAGCACGGTGAGGCCACGGAAGGCGAGCCACACTCCATGCCGGCCCTCATGGCCGATCACACGCGCCAGCCCCCGCCAGTTGTCTGGATGCTCAGGCCGATGCTTGACCGGCTGCGCCTGGTCGTAGAAGAGCACCCACTGGCCCACAACGAACGGCCCCCTCGTCGGCCGTATTTGTCGTAGCTCCGCTCGTCGAAGTCGATCCTACGTGTCTGTCTGGATGAAGGCCATCCTGCACTGGGTCCTGATCTCAACCTTGCGGGCGAAACGCGAGCCTGGCGTAGCCGCTGCCACCTGCTCGCCCACGCGCTCCACCTCGGCGTCGTCCGCGAGGCTCGCCGGGAGGCGGACGTCCCGGCCGAGGACCCAGAGGTAGGGGCTGAAACCGGCCCGCCAGGCCAACGTGTTCTTGGCCCTGTTGCACTCCGTCACTGCCGTCCTCATCTCCTCAAGGCCCGCCACCTGCGTGTCGTGCACCACCCTCGTGAGCATCGAAATCCAGATGCCGTCGTGACGCTCCATCTTGCCGATGTGCCACGGCGAAGCCAGAGCGGCCGAGTCCAGGCGCACGCCCTCCTGCTCCAGGTAGTCCGCGAACTCGCCTAGGAAGGACTGCGCACGGTCCACCATGATCGCCTCCTCCGGCTGGCCAGCCCAGGAGACCCAGCAGAGCTCGTAGAACTTCCTGACCTCCGAGGCCTTGGGATTCTTGTGAGTATCCTCCAGCAGGCAGACCACGTGGAAGTTCGTCCCCATGCACATGATGCCCATGAACTCCCAGTTGTTGCCGGCGCTGTCGACGTTCTCGAAGCAGTCCATCGCGAGCAGCACGTTAAACTCGTCGACCCTCGGGAGCTGGCTCGGGAGCGGGATGCTGGGTCGCTGCACTCGCCGGCAGCTCTCGCAGACGAAGAGCCTCGCCGCCTTCAGCGCCAGCGCCATCGCCTTGCCCAGGCGCAGTGCCCTGAGCAGCGCCGGCCGCGAGGGGTGCCCGAGGTTCACGTGCACCCTCTCGATCGCCCTCTTGACTGCCCTCGGCAGCAGCTCCCAGCGTCGCTTCCTCTCCCGCGAGGCGTCCCGCTGCTGTGCAGCAGCCGGCCCCTCGGGCAGGTCGCCACGCTCGTAGCCCGCGAAATAGAAGACCACCACGTCGTTCTCGAGCAAGTGCCGCGGCAACCAGCGCCGCCGTGCCTGCAGGGACTGCTGCGACCAGTCCTCGAAGCCTTGCCTGAAGAGCTGGTCGCCCTTGAGCACGGTGACCATCCTGAGCGGGGCGTCCGCGGCGTGCAGCTGCGGCTGCACCGTCTGGAGCCGCTGACCTCCGCGTCTCGCCTTCACCATCTTCAGCGGCTCGCTGATGACTCCTCCCAGCTCCTCCAGGAATAGTTCCGAGCCCCAAATGATCGTCTCGATATCATCGCCCATCTTCTCCAGCAGCCTCCTGTGCCAGCTCCGGAACGTGTCCAGCTCAGCGCACAGCTCCACCGTCAACAGCTCGAACTCGCCGTGCTGCGTACGCCGTCCCCGGCGGAAGCCCAGCGGGCGTCCACCAGGAGGCACGCCGCGCTCGCGGCGAGCAGGCGCTCGGCCGCGCCTGGGCCCAGCGAGCACCTCGGCCGGTGCCTCTGGGGCCTCCGCCGCCGCCTCGGCAGGCGGCACGTCCTCTCCGAGAGGCGGGCCCTCCTGGTGTTCCTCCTCTGGCGCGGGCTCTCCCCGCGGCGGGCTCCGCGATCGCGAGCGCTCGCGGGGGAAAGCATCCTCCACCAGGAAGGCCGCATCCATGACCAGCGAGCTGCGGTAGTCGATCTGCATCTGCTGGAACACGCCGCGACAGAAGGCCTTCGCGAGTCCCACGGGGTAGGCCGCCGCCTGCTGCGTCCGGTAGCCACCCGAGTTCTTCCCGAGCAACTGCTGGTGGGCGCCGGGCGGAAATGTACAGCGCTTGCTCAGGTGGTTCGCCACCGCCGCGCTGTTCGTGAGCCACCCCGTCGGCTTCTTGATCGGCTTGCCCGTGTCCTTGTCACAGGCTCCGTAGGCACATTGATCTCCACGCACAAACACAACACCTTCCAGATCCCACAAACGCATCAGGATTCCATCATACTCCCAAGAAAGTGCTGTCAGCGGCTGCTCTGTCAAGAAATACCGTCCTCTCTCATGCACACATCGAGATACCCGCCGAACAAGCAAAAGATAACGGCGGGCACTCCTGCGGACTCTATCCCAGTCGATGAGCTTGTTCATGTTGGTCATCAGAGACCACGGATGACAGGGAAAAGCCAACACTGTGATGTAAGGCCAGTGCAGGTCGAGGATTCGGTAGAGCAAGGCCCGTCCAGGGCCCTTGAGCAGGTCGTAGTCGGGGGAGTGGTCCACATCCAGCGGCTGCGACTGCATCCAACCGTACTCCTTCGCGCCGTAGCGCGTCAGGATGTGCTCGCCACCGAACGGCTCAAACACCACCGTCGTCTGGAAATCGGCTGTCACGAAACGCTCCGCCTCGAACCTCGGTCGAAGCAGCTCTCCTCGTAGGCGTCGATCCTCTCCGCGAAGCTCCCGCCAGGTGGACTTGAGCCTCTTCCGAGTCGCCTTGGACAGGATCCCTGTCGCATCGGTGGCCAGCACGCCCCGATCCTTCGACAGGAAGGCGTGGCCGGTCTCCTCCTCGACCTGGATCTCCTCGCCGTCGGACTCCTCGAAGGCCGACTCCTTCAGCGCCTGCGCGAAGAAGAACTCCGAGTCCCGGTTCTCCGAGACCGCCGTCGCTGGCCCCGAACTCGAAGTCACTGCCGATCGGTGACCATCATCACCCCAATCATCGAGCCGAACTGCCAAGTGACCGCCCACCTTGAACAGCTGCACGTCCACCGCGAGCGTCTGCAGCTCCATCCGCATCTCCTTCAGGTGGAGCACGGCACCCAGCGCCTCCTGCGACGCCAGGCTGACCAGGAGCGGGGTGTCGCAGTCCTCCATCTCCGTGCTGAAGATCACCCCGTGGCGGCCGCCGAGGGCGACCGGAATCTCGACCACGCGCCCCTCCTGCCTCTTGCCGAAGGCCGATGAGAAGCTCCTCCAGCGGTCCGTCATCTTGATCTCCAGGCCACGGGGGTGCAAGCACCTCTTCTCGAACAACTCCCGCCAGCGCTTGCCGTGCATGCATCTCGTGCAACCGGTGTCGATGAGCGCCACTGGTACGTCAGACGAGTCACTGTCTTCACTCACCATAAGCACCATCTCCAAAGATCCTTCCCTGGGTACGGGGCGCACGTGGCGCCCATGAGGGGCCCCTCTGGGCCCCGGAGTGGAGTGTGCTCAGGCCGAAGACGGCGGGGGCCGCGCCTCGCGCAGCCGCTGCTCGCCCTCGTTGTAGTTCAGCGTGCCCTTGCAGTCCGGGAACTGGCTGCATCCGAAGAACCAGCCACCAGTCCGATGGTTCTGACGAGCCACCAGAGCCTTAGAGCACTTCAGGCACGGCAGCACCTCGTCGTCCTTCACCGTCGGAGGGGCCGTGCTGAAGCTGTCACTGACCACACTCGTGCTGTCGCCGACGTCGCTGCCCACGAGCTTGAAGGAGCCGAGGTCGGAGCCACGGTCCGAGCTGACCAGGAAGGCAGAGTCATACTCCACGTCGTCCAGCACGAAGAGGGTCGCATCCCTCCGCTTCTTGGCGCTGGTGCTGCTTGGTGGGTGCGGGCTGCTGCCTGAGGCCGATGAGCTGCTCCAGGCCGGGCGCGAGAGCGCCGCTGCTCGCCCGCGAGGGTCTGCTCGGCTCTTCGGCTTTGCTGACGGCTTCGGCTTCTTCGGACCCATGGGGCACTCCGGGTCCCCGGCCCAGTGGCCGAGCTTGCCGCACGCCCCGCAGTGCGTGCGCTGCTTGTCCTTCGCGATCTCCGCCTTGCGCTCCTCGAAGGTCAAGGTCCCCTCGGCCTTGAAGAAGCCACGCTTCCTCTGGAGGTCCCGGACCTTGGCCCGGGCGGTGTCGTAGGCGGCGTACGCGTTGTTGATCGCCTCGTCCTGACTCGCGCCGGCGTCGCTGGCGAAGTCCTCCTCCGCGTCGCCGTCCTCGTAGGCCTCGTAGACCTCGTCGTCGTAGTCCTCGGACTGCTCCTCCTCCTCGTCGTCGACGTCGTCCGTCTCGGTGTAGTACGCCCCCGGTTGCCTCTTGGACTTGTCCTTGCTTTTGCCTCCGCCCTTCGGGCGCCCAGCTGGGTGAGGCGGCGGCGGCCGGGGGGTCTTCTCCTGCAGGTGGAGGTCATGGTAGTTCGTCTTCAACGTGTTCTCGAAAGCCTTCGTCTCGTACTTGTTGTCCGCCACCATCGTGACCAACCTCTTGTGGTCGTCCGTCAGCATCGCCCCCTCGAGGAGGAAGTACGCATAGAGATCGTCGCTGAGCTTCGTCCCTGTGTCGAGCTCCGTCAGCTCCTTGTACTTGTTGTGGAAGGTCCTCAAGTACTCCACGATCTCTTGGCCGCGCTTGCGGCGAGACCTCTTGAAGAAATCGTCGAACTTCTGCTGTTTGCGTACCACTGCCACTTTGTCCAGACCGTCGAGAGCCTCGATGATCTTCTGGTGCGAGCCGTCCTGCGTGAGCGCCGTCATGTCGTCCAGGAGAGGCTCCACCGCCTTCCACCCTCGGCCTGTGAGGTCTCGCGTCAGGCGCAAGCCCAAGTTCGCTCGCTTCTCCCTGCCGGCCTCCGTCGTGCTCGACTGCGTGCTGTACTCAACCATCACTCTCATTCGATACTCTCGTAGAAGAGCTATGTTCTCACCGTCCCAGTGCGGTATGCCCTCTTTGTCGACAAAGAGCTCCTCTGCGGACTCGTCTGTCATCCGGGCCATCTTCGCCGCCGTAGATCGAAAACCTTGCTCCGCGACCAGTCTGAAACCTGATCTGCTCCTCTTGTGCTGTCAGGCTGGGCGCAGCACCTTTTTCTCGAAGCCGAGAAGCGCGCCAGGTGGCGCCGATCCCGGGCGCAGGCCGCCCGGCACAGCTGAAACCTGGGGCCCCAGGCTGGGCCCACAGTGGTTGCGGGAGCACGGGAGAGGGGCAGAGGGAGAGCAGAGAGGAAAGGGATAGGCGGGTTGAGGCGAGCCTGGAAATCTTCACATATTTTTCGCGGCGTTCTCCGCTTATTCAGACCCGGATCTAAGAGCAGCACAGCCGACTGGGGCCTCGGAGAGTCCTCTCGTAGTCATATATGGCATGAACGGAACGAGTCCCCAGCCTCGAAGGGCGGCCTCGGGGTAAGAACCGGCCGCAGATGTGACATGATGGTGATGATGATGATGATGATGATGATGATGATGATGATGATGATGATGATGATGATGATGATGATGATGATGATGACGATGACGATGACGATGACGACGATGATGATGATGATGATGATGATGATGATGATGATGATGATGATGATGATGATGATGATGATGATGATGATGATGATGATGATGATGGCATGCGTGACTTTAAGATGATGATGCTGCGCAGCCCAGGTATCCTCTCAGGGCCTCTTGGGGGCCTCTTTGGGGCAATCACTGGCGGTGTGGGGCTGTGAAGCTTTCCTGGGCGCCGCCTGGGGCCCTCTTGGAGGAGGCTTGTTGGAGGCGTCCTTGTGAGACTCCTGGAGCCGCCGGGGGGCGGCCCCCAGCGGATGAGTTTTGAGGCCATGGCTTTTGCTAGCGGGACAGCAGCAGGGACGCAGAGAACGTCCACGGCAGCGGATAAGACAACAGGCACGGTCAAAGACGGGGTTGCAGTGATGTTTTCACAGCCTTGTGCCCCATGGCGCCGTGCGATCACCTCCTCCTCCTCTTCCTCCTCCTCCTTCTCCTCAGAGCCCTGTTCCCTACGCAGGTAGCTGAACACCACCGCAAGGTCTGTCTTCAAGCCCTACGCCAATGCAACTCGGCAGAGACTGGTGGAGAGGATTATAATCAAGCCCTGCGCCAATGCCCCCTCCCCTTATGTCCAATCTTGCTCGCCTCCTCCTCGCCCTCTACCTGTCCCGAGGCAAGGGCGTGCTCGGCTGCAAGAAGGCGAGGGCCGAGCAGGACCGAGTACTTTGCCTCAATATGCTTCTGCTCAGCTGGAGAAGCATTGTGCAGTCATACAAACTGGCGGGGGGCCTAATCTGGGGTGCAGCAGGATAGTTCGTTACCGCTGAAATTAGAGCTCGGGTGCCGAAAGGCATGCCCCCCCCCCCATGCCTAAGCAGGCTTGCTTACGATTTGCGAGGCAGAACCTTGCCTTTTCCTTCCTCTTGCCTATCCCCCCTTACACGATGATAGCCCAAGCAGGCGACCTTCGACTTGACAATGAAACTGGCCTCGGGCAGCCATACCAAGCAGTGTTCATGCGTGTCTGGCGTTGTTGAAATTAGAGTTGTTATATTTCTTCGGCGCAGCCCAGCAAGCCCAGTGGTGCCGAGTGGTGTAAGTTTCCCACCCTCAGCCCAGCTGGGCATTCCCCAACACGTTGTGGTCAGATCTGCCCAGCACTACTCCGTGCCCAACACTACTCAGCGTTCTATCCACTTCTCACGTGGCAGTTCGCGTAACTTTTGCACTGTTGCGCGTTGCGGTTATCACACCTGCTATGTTGTTGCTTGTTGTGCTGTGCAACTCCAGGACCCCCGTTAATACGTTCTAAGCAACGCCACGTGCTGTCTAGCATTATTCAGTGTTGGCCTCCCATGAGCCTCCCACAAGTCAGCCGGTCCTTCAGTTGGAGCTGTCGTCTTACATCGCAATTTTGTTTGGCGAAGTCCACCAGTGAAACGCCATGTTCGATTGATGCTCCGACCGCAACCCGGGATGCCGTCAAATAGGATATGCCATCGTTCGTCACCGTTCCGTTGCCTTGTGCTCCTGCGGGGCAGAGTTGGGGCTCACTTCGGTCGTCTTGGCGCTCTCTTGGCCCTTCGCAGGATTCTCGTGAGCCATGCTCGTGCGGGCCGTCTGGGCTGCCTGTCGGGGCGGTCGTTGGACGATCTTTGGGCACCCCTAGGGGCCGTCTTGGGATTTGCTGTCTTGTGTTCCTCTGGAGGCCCTCTTGGGCCAGCGCGGGGCTCTCTTGGGGCCGCTTCGGGCCATCCAGAGGCCCTCTTGTTTGGGGCTCTTAGCAGAGCCTTTTGGGGGTGTTCGAAGGCCGCACATGGAGAGCGAGATGCGACGCGTGGAAAGATGAGACCTGTTGAATACGCAACGGGAAAGAATGGGTCTGGCGTCTCGAGGCACTCTTGGAGAGTTTTTGGGTGGTGTCTTGGAACCTCTTTGAAGGCCTCTTACAGTGGACACCCATGCCAAGAGTCTCCCTACTTGCCTCCAGGGTGCCCTGGGTTTCTTGGGTGTCGATGGTTTTGCTATGGGAAGCGTGACGTTCCCACACCAAACATCAGTGGACGTCCTGGGGTTTCAGGATTGGGTTTTTTGTGGAAGCTTGTGGTCGAGCTCCTACTTTAGGACCTATTTGGCGCTTCTTAGGGGATGCTGCGTGCCTCCTGAGGCAGTGTTGGGCCATCTTGGCGGCCCTGTGTGGCCTGCCTGGACCGTCCTGGAAGCCTTGGATAGCCTCGAAACGCCCAGGGACGCGTCGGGCCGCCCAGGATGCTTCGGGAGTTTTGGGCGAAACATGCAGCCTTGAGAGGCAAGGGGAGGTGCGGGGGGAGTGGGGTGGTAGAAGGTTGCAGTAATCCTGCCAGTCAGGAATAGGTATAACCTGACCGAGGTATAAGATCGAGGTCGGTTCGGGGAGGGTGCCCTAATGTTCGTCGTGCTTGTTGAATGTTCTTGTGCATCCTGGGGGTGGGTACCCTCGAATGTTCTTCATGTTGGCCGGTGGAGGTTCTCAGATTCTTGACGGATGTGTTTCTGTCCTAGGTCCGATTGCAGGAATAACAGTGCCATAGGGTATGGTTGCGAATCTAGTAGGAGCGAGCAGCGATCAATCAGATAAGCGAAGGCACAACTCATATAATGATATCGGAGTGCAGCTCAGCATAGGGGTCAGCTTAGTCCAGCACGGTTTATACGACCCGAGCCCCGCGTGTAGGTGGGCACAGCTAAAATCGGCGCGACATGCCACGACTGAATATGATAGCAAACTAGGCTAGCTAGGCGATGCGATGGAGCTGAGTTCGCCCAAGATTTGTGCAGCATGTCCAACCACTGCTTGCCCCTCGGCTGAGGACGCTAGCGACACTCAATGTAAAATCAGCAGAGCTTCTGGCCCCCCTGTTAATTGTTCATTATATTAACCCCAGGAAGCATTTAAGAACCCCCCCCCCCCTTCCGGCAAATCGATAACCCTTCCGCACCCTGGAAGCGTTACCTGGCACCAGGAGCCCTCCTCCTCCTCCTCCTCCTCATCCTCCTCCTCCTCCTCTCCTCCACCCACGAACTTCCTCCTGCCCCCTCCTCCTCCTCCTCCTCCTCCTCCTCCTCCTCCTCCTCCTCCTCCTCCTCCCGCGCCCCCTCCTTCCCTCGGGGCCAGGCCTCCGCGAATTTGTTGTGTGTCCGGGTGCTAAACCTATCGTGCGGTTATTTCGGCCCCTCGGAATATCGAATAAAAATGCGGTGCTAAGATATCGCCGGGGGGGTTCTTAAATGCTTCCTGGGGTTAGGTGCGCGACGTCGTGCCTTGACGTGTTCGTATGTTCATGCATCATGTGTTGGTGCCCTGGTGCCAAGCTGCACCATGTCTTGATCGATTGACGGTTTTGTGTACGTATGGTGCGTTGTCTTGATGCCATCGTGCCTCGATGCCTCACGGAGCGCCTACATGCCGGCCTCCGCCTCCCCCTCAGCCTACTCAGGGATGGTGACGTAAAAGCCTCGGGACATCCGATCTGGGAGAGGCGGAGCGTCAGGGCCCTGGACCCTGGAGCTGCTGTTGATGAGGAGCGGAGGAGGAGGCGGAGGAGGAGGCGGAGGAGGAGGAGGAGGAGGAGGAGGAGGGGAGGAGCAGGAGGAGCTGGAGGAGCTGGAGGAGGAGAAACAGGAGGACCAGGAGGAGGACCGCCCCAGCCCCAGCCCCTGCCAGGTCGTTGCGGACCTCAAGCAGTACCGCGAGCAGATGAACCAGCGGTCTGTCAGCACGCAGGCGCGGTCGTGAGTGGTGACCCTGGGCGCCCCGCGCCCGGCGCACGCCCCGGCCTGGCACCAGGCGCGGGCGCCAGCGGCCCTGGGGCCGGCCCGCGGAGCGTGCCCCCGCCGCGGCTGCAAAGCGAGCGCCCAGCCGCGCCTCTGCCTCGCGCTGGCCTCCACATCCTCGCTCGCCCGCCCCCCGCCGCCCGCCTCCGCGCAGGGCGCTCGCCACCCTGGCCACCCCTGCTGCAGTCAACCCGCATGGCAAGGAGGGGCAACCTTCCCAGCGGTACCCTTGCATGCTTCCCCGTCGGTCCATCCCGGGCGACTTTCGTGGGTTTGAGCCCCGCTCGAAAAGCTTCGAAATGGGCATCCGGGGCCCTTGCATCCTTGTCGCGCATCCTCTGCCAGCGCCCTCTGCGGCCGGCGCTGCCCTCTGCGGGCGCTGCCCTCTGCTTCTGCCTCTGCTCTTCTCGACCCTTCTCCGAGCGCCTCTGGCGATCCGCCGCGACGCTTCTTCGACATGGGCTGGGCCTGCCTGACTCGCACGTCCCCCGGGGCAGGGCCGCCTACGATCCGACTCGGTGCGAGTCGATTCGCCGGCTGCAGCCGCGATTCCGCTGCGACGCGATGCGGCTCGATTCGCCGACCTTGACCGGGGCCAGCCGGAGCCCAGCGCAGCGCTCCGATTTCGATTCGCTTCGGGACGGTTCGCTGGCGACTCGATGCGTTTTTCTAATTGATTCGATCCGATGTCGCGCTTCGATCCAGCTCAGGCCTGCCCCTTCCATGCGCGCCCTGCCCCTCGCATTCCGTCCTCTCCGGCCACGGGCAGTTCGCAAAACCAACAGGGCGAGAATTAGAGAACGGCAAAAACATGTATTTTGCCTCTGGAGGCCCTCCCGTGGCTCCTCTTGGAGCCCCCGTGCCCCGAGGGCCATCTCGGAGGCCTCTTGCGGCGTTTTGGGGCCATCTTTTGGCCTTTTTCGAGCCTTCTTGGGCCCACCTTGGAGGCATTGGAGCCGACCTCGAGGACATCAGGGAACGTCGTGGGCCGTCTTGGAGGCCACCTTGTAGACGAATGTTCTTGCCTTTCTGTGCTGTTCCGGGCTCGTCGCGGGCCTGGCGGAACGTGCCGTAGGCGAGTGAAAATCGTTCGCAAAACAAGGCGGGCCCTACGACGTCGGTGAGACGTCTCCTAACGCCCGGCCGAGGCTTCAGGGCTTCTAGTCTGACCTGACGCTTTGGGAACGAGAGCCTGCTTAGCTCACGTCTGCCAGGTATCGGCAGTCCGCGGGAATCCCCGGGGGCTCCCGCTCGGGACCAATGTGCCCGGCCGTGTTCGGGATGCCTTTGCCGACGCGCTGTTCTTTTCAGGGCGCATGTGGAGCCTGCAGATAGGCCGGGGCGCAGCGCTGTGTGCCCCCTCCCCGACTTCAATGGGAGGTGTCAGGGGGGACATGATACAGTGAGCGGCTTGAATAAGGAACGCTTACTTTTCAAAAGGGGCTCGGGCGTGTCTTAGGTTTACACTCGTTATTGATCGATCGTTATGCGTTATTTATCATCTATCGCTCCTTAAGCGGTACTTTTTGCATACAAGAAGCTTCGTTCCTTAATTTATCTTGCCGTAGGTCAGGCCGATGACTGTACCAGCGCTGTGCTCCATCGCCTTTCGGTTCAAGAAGCGTTCGCCCTATTTCGTCGGCGCCTAGACACAGGCGTCCTATCTGAGAGGAAACAGGTCCGTCCCTTTTTGTTCACCCAACCACTTACATCAGATCCACTACCATTCTTTGATATTGCCGCGATGTATTATATGAGGTTACCACGTTATTTTCGACTCTTGGGGGCCTCCTACCCGTCTTAGAGGTCATCTTGGGGTGGTGGGTTCCAAATGTTAGTTCAAGTTTTCCCTCTGGTCTCCGTCTTATGACAGTGATTGGCCTTTTTCCGGCTGCTTTTGTGGGATTGGGTGATGCTCTGGGCAGGTTACAAAGCATCTTTTGTCGTTTTGACCATTGTCAGCGCCGAAAAGGCAGTGCTATTATACGAAATTCGCTCAAAAGCTTTCGCGCTATTCATTGATGTTCGTTTGTAGGTTTGGCCACCATGGTCTCCGAGATGGCCCCACAGATCCCCCCAAATGTGTGCCAGCGCTGGCCCCCGAGACCATCTTAGAGCATGCTCGAGCATTACCCTCCCGGGCACGCTCCCGATGACCCTGAGCAGGTCACGCCACGCACCGGAAGAGCACCCAGGAACGCCCAAGAGCGCCTGGAGCAGAGGGGTCGGGGCTTCTGGAAGACCGTGCACAATATTCGACACAGAGCTAGAAGGGACCTGGCTGGGGACACTCCACTCTGCCTCGCGGCGCCGTGGCGAATCTAATGCGATGCCTTTCCATACATTGCAATGCGCCATGCTGATCGATGTTGCTTGTACGCAGTGGTGGCAATCCATGCTGTGCCAGGCTGTGTCATGCGGTGCGCTGTTACGCTTCACTTGGAAGTGTTAGCTCTTCGCGCATCCTCTCCAGCCCATCCAGAAGCGATTCCCAGTCGAGTTGCCTTGATCAGGGAAGTGTATGAGCATGCAATTGAACACAGATGGGGGTTAGCAATATCTCATGGCACCTAGGGTCATACTGCAACACCCGCGGTGTTGAATAATTTTGTCTAAGAGCCTACTGGGGGGGGGCCAAACATAACTGCCCTTCTGGGCCCGACAGATCTCGTGTACCTTCTTGTGACGCTCTTGGAGCGCTCTTGGGTTGCTGTGGGACCGTCGTGTTGCCCGACTTGGCCTTTGTCGGGGCTCGCATGTGCGATCGGAGAGCAATCATGATGCCACAGAAGCGAATCGGAAGCATAACGGCGAGACGACATCATCAATGGAAACGCACCAGGGTGGTGCAAGAGTTCTGCCTCTCGGATGTATCCTGTGCTGGTGTCGTGGCCACGTGAGGCAGTTCGGAGCAGCCTTGGGCTTTTGGTGTAGGCATGATGGATGTCGTGCTGAGCCATCATGTGCCATCTTGGAGTCTGTATTGTGCGTTCTGGGGCCATCTTGGAGCCATCTTGGGCCCCCCCTCCTCTCGCAGGTCCCTCTGTCGCATAGGCCTCTTGGTTGCTCAAGGTGGACTCAGATGGCGTCAATAGGTCACCACCTTTGCCGCAGAGGACGCAAATACGTGCCCAAGGCAGCCAACCACGCCCTCTATGAGGTCCAGAGAGGCCTAACTATGGCTCCACGAGAGAGCAGTCGCACCCCAAGAAAACCGGAGCCCGCCCAGGCTCCTTCCAGCCAGGACACGCTCGCGATATTGCTCGCCCTCTCAAGGAGGAGGCGGTTTCAGTCCCTCGCTGATCAGATCCAGTATGCTCTGGGCAGGTGAGGTTGGCGATTCGGTGGACGTCGTACCGCGCCTTGCGTACAGACGAGGCCTGCCACGGAACCTACAGGACCAGCACTGGCCGCCTGGCGCGGCAGCAAGACACTTTGACACAGCTCTCGCTGGCCATGGGGGGGGCGATCACAGTCCGAGCCTCTTGCTTCCCTTGACCCTGGCCGCGCAGGTCATGAAGGCCACAATCGCCCAGTACAACGCGGAGGCACTGCTGACGCAGCGCGAGCACGTCTCGCGAGAGATCCGCGAGGCGCGCGCGGGGGCACGCCCGCTGTTGGCCGCCGCCCGCGCGTCGCCACCGCCCCCCGCGGCCTCGGCGGCCCCCCCCTAGGCAGGTGGCCGGCGTGCCTGTGCGCGCCTACTCCTCAGGGTTGGGTTTGGCTGCTCGTTCTGGCAGGGGGGTGCAGGAACGCAGGTAGAGCAACACGAAACACACCACGAACACAACAACTCGTGGGCGCACGGGTCCAAGTCCCGCACGGGGTGTGCCCGATTTCGTTTTTTTTGCTTTGTTTGTTCCGCAGTTTGGCGATGGTTTCGCCAGTGGATGTAGCGGTCTTCAGACGAGATGCTCGCGTGGTGTGACGTGCGTGCAGTCTGGATGAGCATTCGCGTATGAAAACGAGGTCCAGCCCTGCCCCAAGGAATTCCGAGGGGGGGTCCGTAGCCATTTTGGCTCAAGTCTGGCTCAAGCAGGCTGGCACCACAAGCTGCGCACAGCCGGCGCCGCCGCCGCAGGCCTTCTCCCTGCCCCCATGGCTGGCCGCACCCGCATCTACGTTGTGGCGGTCGCTGGCGCGGAGCTGGAGCAGCGAGCGGTCTCAGAGGAGAGACCCACGGGTATCGTCGTCGCGCTGCGGGAGCACTCGACGAGCGCCACGGAAGAGAGCAGCAGCTGCGCTTCCGCGGACGACAGCAGCGAGGGGTCGGCGCCAGAGCGCTTCTCTCTTCGGCACCTGGGCGAGGGCCCGGGAGGCCCCGGGGATCGCCTCCACCGGCAGTGGAGCGACTGCAGCTCCAGCACCGCGTACGAGTCCGACCCGCCCCCGTCACGGGGCAAGCAGGAGCTGCGGAACCGCACCAGCCGACGGCGGGCGCTGCGCATCGCCGCGAAGCTCCGGCGCCGCGCCGATGCGTGCCTCGCCGGCCGCGGCGGCGGCGGCGCCGAGACCGCCGAGCCCCCCGAGGGCGGCGCCGCCGCCCCGGCCAGCCAGCGGGCCACCGCCGGCGGGGCCTCGTGCTCGGGGCAGGCGCCCGCCGCCCGGGAGGGCGGCGCGCCGCCGCGGCTGGCGCGCCGCGGGGCCGCCGCGAGGCCCGCCGCTCCGCCGGCGCCGCCGCTCGGCCGCGCGGGGGCGTCGGCCGGCGACGCGGGGAGCTGCCGGGAGGTCGCGGCGGCCGCCGCGGCGGTCGCCCCGCCGCGCTGCGGCGCCCCGCAGCAGCAGGCGTGCGTGCGGCGGTGGGAAGCGGAGATTTGGCTCTCGGTCTGAGTCTGGCGCCCGCGCCCTGGTCCCCAGGCCCCCCCGCGGGGAAGGAGCAAAAATAGGACGACGGGAGGTTTTCCCATGTGCGGAGAAACCTAACGCCATGATGTTTTCTTCGCCCGAGGGGGTTTGGGCCAGGGGATAATTATCACGGCCCGGCGCCAGGAGACCTCCCAGATTCTATAGGCTTACGCCACACCCGCCGACCCCTAGTTAAGCTACTGCGCCTCCAGGACTGCATTTCACGAGGCTTGTCCGAATCATGACACGGCGCTGGACATCGTTCCTGTTGCTTCGTTGCTGTTATCGTGCCTCCTGGTGCTCCTTTGTTGCCCTTTGGTGGCATCTTGGCCTTCTGCAGGCCATATCCGGCCGCCTCGAGGCATCTTGGGCCAAGTTTTGGGGCCTCTTGGGGGCTTCCTGGGGGCTTCTTGGAGGCCTTTGAGGTTCTTTTGGGGGTCCCTCGGGGCCTCTTGGGCTGTTCTTTGGGCACGCTGGGGACGTCTTGGGGCCGAGGCTCGAAAAGGTGCCCTCTGGGCTCCGTCTTGGAGCCGTCTGAGGGCCCTCTTGGGCTGTCTTGGGAGCTTCGGGGGCTGGTGTTGGCCCCTCTTCGGCCCTTCTTGGGGGCCCCTTTGGCCGTCTGGGGGCGATATTGAAGGTTTCTTTGCCCGTCTGGGACCCGAAGGCCCCAGTGGCAGGGTCCGCATGCCTCCCCATTACCAATTTCGGCACACCCCTCACACGTTTCGTGGCCCCATAGGGAGCTCCACCGAAGGCCCCAGTGGCAGGGTCCGCATGCCCCCCCACCACCCATTTCGGCACACCCCTCACACGTTTCGTGGCCCCATAGGGAGCTCCACCGAAGGCCCCAGTGGCAGGTCATGCCTCCCCACCACCCATTTCGGCACACCCCTCACACGTTTCGTGGCCCCATAGGGAGCTCCACCGAAGGCCCCAGTGGCAGGGTCCGCATGCCTCCCCACCACCAATTTCGGCACACCCCTCACACGTTTCGTGGCCCCATAGGGAGCTCCACCGAAGGCCCCAGTGGCAGGGTCCGCATGCTTCCCCACCACCAATTTCGGCACACCCCTCACACGTTTCGTGGCCCCATAGGGAGCTCCACCGAAGGCCCCAGTGGCAGGGTCCGCATGCCTCCCCACCACCCATTTCGGCACACCCCTCACACGTTTCGTGGCCCCATAGGGAGCTCCACCGAAGGCCCCAGTGGCAGGGTCGCATGCCTCCCCACCACCCATTCGGCACACCCCTCACACGTTTCGTGGCCCCATAGGGAGCTCCACCGAAGGCCCCAGTGGCAGGGTCCGCATGCCTCCCCACCACCCATTTCGGCACACCCCTCACACGTTTCGTGGCCCCATAGGGAGCTCCACCGAAGGCCCCAGATGCCTCCCCACCACCCATTCGGCACACCAGTGGCTTCGCATGGGAGGCGGCGAAGGCCCCAGTGGCAGGGTTCGCATGCCTCCCCACCACCCATTTCGGCACTCCCCAACACCCATTTCGGCACACCCCTCACACGTTTCGTGGCCCCATAGGGATCTCCACCGAAGGTCGGGGGGAGCTTGAGACTCTGGTGACACATGCGTTGGCACGTCTGGGTGGCTATCGGGTGGCTGGAACCGTTGGGGTAATCCGTGGAGAATGGGCTGTGGAAGTGGCTTCTGAGGGCCCTGCCACTCCATCTCACGGTCCAAATCCACCTCTTCCTGCGTGCCCAGTAACAGGTCTCATGATGCGATGATGATACTGATGTGTTGGCTCGCCCCAGTGAGCTCTCCTCCTCCGCCCACCACCTCCTGCCCGCGCTGCCCTGTGCCTCGTCCATGCAGTGGCGCTGTGCCTATGAGAAGAAGGGCCTAGTTTGCGTGCCCCCTCCTTCGTCTCATATCCGTGCGGTACTCGCAGCTGCATATGGTTGGGTCCTTCGCCAGGCTAATTTTTCGAAGAGAATGGGGCGATTTTTGCTTCTTGGGGCCCTCTTTGGGCGCATATTGGGGGCCTTTCGGTACGTCTTGGCAGCTTCGGAGGCCGCCCGGAGTCCATCGTGGGCGTCCAGGGCGATATTTTGGCGATTCGTGGCCCCCTGGGACCGTCTGGGGAGCGTTTTGGTGCCTTCTTCGCCAGTTTTGGAGCTCTCCGCTCCCCCGCGGCGGGTTCGGTCCGGGGTCCGGCTGTGCGAGGGGGGGCGGTCGAATTGCCGGTTTGGGGTCCCTGGGGAGGGGAGTGTGGCTTAGGCGCGGCCGGACCAAATGACTCCCTTCCGGGCGGCCGGTGGCCCGCGGTGTCCCGCCGTTGTCCCGCTGGTGTCCCGTCGGTTCTCCTGTGGCTGAGGCGCGGCCGGACCAAATGTTTCCCTTCCGGGGTGCCGGAGGCGCGCGGTGTCCCGCCGGTGTCCCGCTAGTGTCCCGTCGGTGTCCCGTCGGTGTCCCGATGATGATGTGGATGGTTATGATGATGATGATGATGGTGGTGATGATGATGATGTTGATGATGATGATGATGATGGTGATGATGGTGATGATGATGATGATGTTGATGATGGCGGTGATGATGATGATGATGTTGATGTTGATGGTGATGATGATGTCGATTGTGATAACGATTATGATATCCATAGTGGCACCGAATGTGAGATCGATTGTGAGATCGATAGTGAGATCGATTGTGAGATCGATAGTCAGATTGCTTGCGAGCTGATGACGGTGATGATGGTGATGATGGTGGTGATGATGATGACGTTGATGATGTTGATGATGATGGTGTCCCGATGACGATGATGTTGATGATGATGTAGATGATGATGATGTTGATGATGATGGTGTCCCGATGATTATGATGATGATGATGACGTTGATGATGCTGATGTCGATGATGATGTTGATGACGATGATGATGATTATTATTATGTTGGTGATGATGATGACGATGATGGTGTCCCGATGATGATGATGGTGATGATGATGATTATGATGATGACGATGTTGAGGAGGATGATGAGTTGATGATGATGATGCTGGTGTCCCGATGATGATGGTGTTGATGATGGTGTTGATGATGATTATGGCGCCCCGATGATGATGACTATGATGGTGATGATGATGGTTGGTTATGGTGATGGTGAATGTGAGATCGATTGCGGGATCGATTGTGCTATCGATAATGATATCGATTGTGAGATCGATAATGAGATCGAGTGTGAGATCGATAGTGAGACCGAATGTGAAACCGAATGTGAGATCGATTGTGAAATCGATTGTGAGGTCGATCGTGAGATTGATAGTGAGGCCGAATGTGATATCGATTGCGAGATCGATTGTGAGATCGATAGAGTGGACCGATTGTGATATCGATAATGAGATCGATTGTGAGATCGATAGTGAGACCGAATGTGAAACCGAATGTGTGATCGATAGTGATATCGATAGTGAGATCGATAGTGAGATCGATAGTGAGACCGAATGTGAGACCGAATGTGAGATCGACTGTGGGATCGATTGTGAGATCGATTGTGAGATCGACAGTGAGACCGAATGTGAGACCGAATGTGAGATCGATTGTGAGATCGATTGTGAGATCGATAGTTAGATCGATAGCGCGATCGATAGTGATATCGATAATGAGATCGAATGTGATATCGATAGCGAGATCGATAGAGCGAAACGTTTGTTCCCCCTCCCCCCTCACCTCCTTATCACCCGCAGGGTGGTCGTATAGGTATACGTTTTACGGAGGGAACGGGCGATTTTGTGCGTCTAGAGGCCCTCTTGTGGCGCATCGTGTATGTTTTTTGGGGCGTCTCGGGGGCCTCTTTAGCCGTCAGGAGGCCGTCGTCAGTGTTTTTGATCGCTCTGGGACCGTCGGGGGCCATGTGGAGCTCTCTTCGAGGCCACTCGGAGCGCTCCTGGAGCGCTCTCGGGGCAGTTTTCGGAGCCCTTTTGGGCCGTCTTGGACGTCTGTTGGCCCTTCTTGGGGCCCTCGAGGGCTCTGTGGGGAACCCTCTTGGAGGCGCCTTGGGCCGTCTGGGAGCGGGTTTGGGGGGCTCTGGTGTCGTCCAGGAGCGGGGGGCACCCTAAAAGGCGCACGTGTGGGAAATATACATTTTACGACGGGAACGGGCGATTTTTTGCATCTAGAGGGCCTCTTGGGGCGAATCTTGGATGCCTCTTGGGGCGTCTTGGGGGGCCTCTTGAGCCGTCGGGAAGCCGTCGTCGATGTTTTTGATCGCTCTTGGACCGTCTGGGACCATGTGGAGCTTTGTGGAGGCCATTCGGAGCGTTCCTGGAGCGCTCTTGGGTCCGTTTTCGGAGCCCTCTTGGGCCGTCTTGGACGCCTGTTGGCCCGTCGTCGGGCCCTCGAGGGTTCTGTGGGGGACCCTCTGCGAGGCTTCTGGGGCCGTCTGGGAGCGGGTTTGGGGGCCTCTTGGGCCGTCGGGGAGCATCGGAAAGGCCCCAAGCCGAATTTGTGAAAAATATACGTTTCACGACGGGAATGGGCCAATTTTTGCGTCTAGGGACCCTCGTGGAACGCATCTTGGAGACCCTCGGGGCCGCTCGTTGGGACCTCTTCCGCCGTCGAGGACGCCTCGTGGCGCGTCTTTGGGCCACCGTGAGCGTCTTGGAGCGCTCGTTGGGCGTCCAAGAGCCATTTCGAGGCCACCAGAGGAGTCCCTGCACGATTTTCCAGAGGTTTTGCACGATTTTCGGGAGCGGCTGGCACCT